TCTCTCCTTAAACGCTACAATAAAAAGCTCTCTGGGCCATTCCCCTCCTTTCCCCTCTCGCTCTCAGGTTCACGCCACTAGAACCTCCAAGCCCTCCCCTGCTCTTTTATATATTCTCCCAATCCGCCTAACTTCTTCTCTCTCTCTCTCTCTCTTTCACGCTCTTTCTTTCTTTCACGCTTTCTTTCTTTCTTTCACGCTCTTTCTTTCCTTTCTCTTTCTTTCTTTCTCTTTCTCTTTCTCTTTCTTTTTTCTCTTCTTTCTCTTCCTTTCTCCTCTTTCTCTCTCTCTCTCATCCTCTCTCTCCTCTCTCTCTCTCTCCTCTCTCCTCTCTCTCTCTCTCTCTCTCTCTCCTCTCTCTCTCTCTCTCTCTTTCTTTTCTTTTTCTTTTCTTTCTCTCTCTCTCTTCTCTCTCTCTCTCTCTCTCTCTCTCTCTCTCTCTCTCTCTCTCTCTCTCTCTCTCTCTCTCTCTTTCTCTTCTTCTTTCTTTCTTTCTTTCTTTCTTTCTTTCTTTCTTTCTCTTTCTTTCTTTCTTTCTATTTCTTCCTTTTATTTCTTTCTTCTCTCTTCTTTCTTTCTATCTCTTTCTTTCTTTCTTTTCTTTCTTTCTCTTTTCTTTCTTTCTTTCTTCTTTCTTTCTTTCTCTTTCTTTTCTTTCTCTCTCTCTCTCTCTCTCTCTCTCTCTCTCTCTCTCTTCTCTCTCTCTCTCTCTCTCCTCTCTTCTCTCTCTCTCTCTCTCTCTCTCTCTCTTTCTCTCTCTTCTTGTTTTGTTGTTGTTCTCTTATCTATCTATACGGTCCTTACACTCAATCATTCACAAGCAATCAAACAAGGTAATACTTACGACAACACCACAGACTCACTCAATCATCACTCACTCACTCACTATTCTTTCTCCGTTCCTCCTCGCTCTTCCGGGCCATTTTCAGAAATCAAGCTAAAACCACAAGCGAGGCAGCCAATTATCTCAAAAGTTTTCCTTGTTTAGCACGCAAACGCCTGACATTGCCAAAAAAACTGAGTTGGGGATAACAAAGAAAAAAAAAGGGGAGGGCTAAAATTGAGAGAAGAGAGGAGAGGGAGAGAGAGAGAGAGAGAGAGAGAGAGAGAGAGAGAGAGAGGAGAGAGAGATAGAGATAGAGATAGAGATAGAGATAGAGTAGAGATAAAGATAGAGATTAGATAGAGATAGAGAGAGAGAGAGAGAGAGAGAGAGAGAGAGAGAGAGAAGAGAGAAGAGAGAGAGAGAGAGAGAGAGAGAGAGAGAGAGAGAGAGAGAGAAAGCGATAGGGGCAACTAAGAAAAAAGCGCAATGCAATTACCAAAGAAAAAGATGAAACGAACAGAAAAGAACAAAGAAGGAATGAATAAATTAAATGATGCAGAATAATAAAAAAATATAAAAGTGCATAGAGACAGGAGAGAGAAAAAATATCAGGGAAAGAAGGGGTCGAAAAAGCGAGCGGGCCCTAAAACGCATTAGGGCATCCGTAAAAAACATTACTCAGCGAGAGTTTGTTTACACCTGGTGTGCCGTTGCGTTTCGCGATGGGTCTCGCCGGGCTCAAAACTTTCGCATTTCCTGCTTCACATGTGCAAGGTGCTAAACAACTATGTCGAATATGCGCTCGAAAGTTTGTTAGACAAAAGACGGCGGCGCTACGGGTTGCGCTCCTGGGATTTGGTTAACAAAGCACGCGTAAAGAGGCTCAGAAATGTTTACAAAGAAATAAAAGAAAATTATAATGATCTTCACAAAAACTGATTGGAAAGAGAAACCAAACTGCAGAGCTACATATCATGGTACCGAAGAGGTGAAAATCTCTTTCTCTTCCAAAACGGATACACTGATACTGCGAAATTCCTTTTGTTATCGTAAAAAGCGGATGGATTGATTCATTGATAAATCGTATAATCACAAGAAGCAAAAACATCACGAAATGTTAAAGGACGACGACCAAAAAGACCACCACCTTATCCCCTTCAGATCGCGCGGCCCAAGAGCAGCGTAGCGCAGTAGTGTCCGGGCCAGGTACAGTGTGGTTGTGTGACACCATAACTGCCAGCTGGCGGTGTTTACGGCTGGCTGGTGGCTGTGAGTTGCCATCCAGGAGGATTCCCCCGGGGTGGCTCCCCGCCGCGGCACTAAAGGCGCTGCACCTTTAGGAACACCCGGGCGCCTCATCCAAGTCCCTCTCTCGCTCGCGCAAGTCTGTTTGACGTTAATCAAGACACTGGCCAAGGTGCGTTAATGCCTTCATCTCACACGAGGAAGCAAGGAGTACGCTCCCCTCCTCTCCCCTTCCTTCCCCTAAATTAGAAGCCTCGCTCCGTTCTCGGAGAAGAACCGCCTCGGGGCGACCAGTGCATTTCGCTTTAAAACTCTCGCGGGCGAAAAAAACGGCGCGATCACAGACACAAGTTGATCCTCCCGCCTTTCAACTCGGGTTTCCTTCATATTTCTTCAACTCCACTCCTTACCTCTCTTCTCCCCTTCTCTCTGTTTTCTCTCTGTTTGTTCTCTCTCTTCTCTCTCTCTCTCTCATCTCTCTCTCTCTCTCTCTCTCTCTCTCTCTCTCTCTCTCTCTCTTCTCTCTCTCTCTCTCTCTTTCTCTCTTCATCCTTCCTTCCGTTCTTTTCTTCTTCTCTCTTTCTTTGTCTCTCTCTCTCTCTATCTCTGTCTCTTCCTTGCTTTCTCTCTCTTTCTCATTTACTCTCTGTCTCCCTCTCTTTCTCTCTCTCACTCTCTCTTCATACCTCTACTTCTTTATATCCTTCCTCTCTCTTCTCTTTTCTTCCCCGTACCTCTTCTCTCTTTTCTTTTTTCCTCTATACCTGTCCTCTCGACTCTCTTCTAGTCTATATATTTCTTTTTCTTCTTTTCTCTTCTCTATGCATCTCCTCTTTTTATCTACGTATCACTTCTCTCTCCCCTCTTGTTTTACATACTTCTCTCCTCTTCTTTTCCACTCCCTTTCTATCTTCTCTTCTCCCCTCCATCCTCTCATCTCTTTTATACTCTATTATCTTTTCCTTTTACTTCACTACTCTCCCTCCTTCTACACCCTTCCTTTCTCTTTCTCTCCTAACTCCCCTCAGCTCTCCTCCCTCTCCCTTTTGCTCTCTCTTACACTCTCTCTCTCTCTCTTCACTTACTCTCTCTCTCTCTTCCACTTCTCTCTCCTTCACTTTCTCTCTCTCTTCCACTTACTCTCTCTCTCTCTTTCCAATTACTCTCTTTCTCTCTTCTCTCTCTTTCTCTCTCTTCTCTTTCTCTCTCTCTCTCTTTCTCTCTCTCCTCTCCTCTCTCTCTCTCTCTCTCTCTCTCTCTCTCTCTCTCTCTCTCTCTCTCTCTCTCTCTCTCTCTCTTTTTTCAATGTTTTTGTAAAGCTGCCATTTCTTATCTCCCTTCCGCTTCACAGGTCCACTACGAGTTTTCTCCTGTTTTATGCCTGTTATCTTTCTTTCTTTGTCATTTTTTCCAATATTTATCTGATTTTTCCTCTAACTCACTCTCTTGCTATGTTGGATTTCTTAATTCTGCCTTTAGTGTTTAATTCCTTTTTTTCTCGCCTCTTTTTCCTATTTTATATGACTGCTCTTTTCCCCTTCCACCTTGCTCTCCCTCTCTGTATGCATGTATGACTTACTGACTGACTGACTGACTAATACACAGACAGACTGACTCATTCACTCCTTTACTCACATCCCGAATCTCACTCACTCTCCATTTGCTATTCCCTCATCTCGCCTTCGTCCTCGTCCTCGTCCTCGTCCTCTCTCTCTGTCTCTGTCTGTCTGTCTCTCCTTCTTGCTTCTTTCACTCTCCCTCTCCCTCTCCTCTCCTGTGCCTGCCCTTCCCCCTTGTCCCCGTTCGCCACGTTCCCCATTTATTGCCCTACCAGGTTGCTTAATAAAGAGAGCAAAGGACCTCAAGGACGTGATACGGATGATGTTACCTCCTTTTCCTAACCTCTTCGGTTCCATTTCCCACTCTCTATTTTCCTCCTCTATCCATTCCCCTTCTCCTCTTTCCATCCCCTTTTCTCCTCCTTTTCCCACTCCCCACTCCCTCTTCTCGTTCCACAGCCACATTTTCCACTCGCCTCCTTCCTTTACTGACCTACCCTATTTCCCCTCTAGTCATTCCAATTCCGAAATTCTGCCGCTCACCACCAGGAATCTCACGCTGGATCGCTGAGTCGGTACTTTCTGTCGTCGAATCAGCGGTAATTACGTGTTTCCCGGCATGTCAAGTTCAACTTCCGCCTCGACGAACAAACTTTTCTCCTCTGCTAACTCAAGTTGTTGCATCTATCCTTCTACCTTTGATGTCTCTTAAGTGAACGCACACAAACGAGCACTTAAGCACACGAGCGCGTACACACATACCAGGGTGGAAACTTTACCGTTTTCGGCAGCGCGTTGAGTGTGGAAATCCTGTACGCAAATATGGGAATTCTGTTGACTGCTCACATATCACGTGCGCCATGCAACTCGTCAAAATCGGTAGCATTTTACCTATGAGCAACTGTGGCGCATGAGGAACGTGATATGTGGAACTGGTAGCTCTACAAATTCCATGACGTTTTGCTTCTATTAAACATATATCGCAAAATTACTGTTAGCTTACTGATACCAAAACGCATTCTCTCTGTGCCATAGATATAAGAAACAATGAAAAATTATTTTTGGCAAAATCTATTCGTACTTTGGAAACTTTCCGGACTGATTCATACATACACACCTCCACCTATATGCGTATGTACACATGTACGTCCCCAAACAAACTTACGCAACTTCAAGTATCAAGTATACAAGCTCTCAAATAAAATGAAAGTTCAGCATCTACAGTAAAGCCTTCGAAAATAAAACAATTTTCTCCCGAACACCATGCTCATACCACTATCTTTCATTCGCAATATTTCTCCGTTCCCACCATTATCGTCTTTTTTCTGATTTTTTACTGCCGAGAATCAAAATCACAAATTCTCATCTTC